AGAGAGAGAGAGAGAGAGAGAGAGAGAGAGAGAGCAGTAGAACATAAAACCTATGCCCTCGTCAGTAGGAGTGGATGGAGGGTGATACTGATTGGCCATACTTCTCTTTTGGTGCCTTTACTATCTCTATACTTTACTTTAGTTTTCCGATCCAGTAGCCATTTGGGTTCTAGCCCTTCGGGCTGTTGATGGGGCAAAGAATTTACAGGTTTTTATCAGCTGTGCGTTGTCACTGTATAAAGTATTTCTGATATCTGGGGAGGCAGGTAGGTAGGTGCCAAGCAGGTCGCAAAGTGCGCAACGGGCAGTCGGGTGGGGTATCCTTGCGGATCTTATTTAGGAAGGAATTTAGTGGGATGTGTTGTGTTCGCAGGCGAAAGATCGTGACTTGTTCTCTTTAACTCATGGAATTTAGTGCCTCTATTATCTCTATCAGCATGTTATTTATGCAGCATTAATTGACCAGTATCCCTTCAAAGCTCATCTCTTTACACTAAAAACAACAAACAAACAAACAAACAAACAAACAAATCAACAAACGAACAATAAAGAAATCACCTGTGGGGGCCAATGCACAGATGTCACAAGATTTCTTGTACAGCCTGTTCACCAGGCAAACCAACAAACAAACAAACAAACAAACAAACGAACACACAATAAAGAAAATCACCTACCTGTGGTTTCAATTTCGCAGGTGTTACAAGACTTCTTGCACAGCCTGTTCACCAGGCAAACAAACAAAGAAACGAACAAACAAAAAAGCAAACAAACACAAAATCAAACAAATCAACAAACAAACGAACAAGCCAACATACAAACACACAATAAAGGAAACAAATCAACAAACAAACGAACAAGAAAGAAATCACATACCTGTGGTGTTAATTCCTCAGGTGTTAAAAGATTTCTTCATGTATGTTTAAAGAGAAAGGATGTGGTGAAGGGGTATGGATGGATAGATAATATAGTATTTTTTAGATAGACAAATAGAGCGAGAGAGAGAGAGAGAGAGAGAGAGAGAGAGAGAGAGAGAGAGAGAGAGAG